GCTTGTCTGGTTTCTTCTGATGCCTCTCTCCTTAGCTTACAGATGGTCATCTTCTCACTGTGTCCCCACATGGTCTTTCCTCTGTGTGCGAGCATCCCTGGTATCTCTTCATGTGTCCAAATTTCCCCCTCTGTATAAGGACACTAGTCAGACTGGATTAGGACCCACCCTGATGGCTTCATTTTAACTTAATCATCTTTTTAAAGGCATTATCTCCAAATACAGGTTGAGCATCCCTAATCTAATATCCAAAATCTGAAATGCTCCAAAATCTGAAACTTTTTGAACACCAACATGATGCCAAAAATGGAAAATTTCACACCTGACCTCATGTAAAGGTCTAACAAAATTATTAAAACAATTGTATAAAATTACCTTCAGGTTATATATAGAAGGCATATATGAAACATAAATGAATTTCATGTTTAGACTTGGGTCTCTTCCTCAATCTCATTATGTACAAGGGTACTTCAAAAAGTTCATGGGAAAATAAAATTAAACCATAATACAAATCTTTCCATGAACTTTTTGAAGTATGCTTATATATGCAAATATTCCAAAATCTAAAAAAATCCCAAATCCAAAACACTTCTAGTCCCAAGCATTTTGCATAAGGAATACTCAACCTGTATAGTCACATTCTGGGATACTGGGGGTTAGGACTACAACATAATGAATTTGGGGGGGATACATTCAGTGTGTAACACTCTCCCCCAGCCTCATGCAACCACCCTTCTACTTTCTGTTTCTATGAATGAGACTATTCTAGCTACCTCATATAAATGGAATAATACAGTATTTATCTTTTTGTGACTGGCTTCTTTCTCTTAGCACAAAGTCCTGAAGATTCATCTATGTCGTAACATATGTGGTAGATCTACATTGTAGCTCTCCTTCCTTTCTAAGGCTAAATAATCTTCCATTGTAAGTATATGCCACATTTTGTTCATCCACTGATGGACAACTGGGTTGCTTACATGTTTTGGCTATTATGAATCATTACGAACTGCTGTGAACATGGGTGTATAAATATCTGCTGGAGACCCTGCTTTCAATTCTTCGGGTATATACCCAGGAGTGAAAGTGTCCTGAAGCATGCATTAAAGTACTGGCTGTCCTATACCTATGTATCTCTGCTTAGACTAATTCTACCTATAGATATTTGCTTGCTGTTACAAACTAAAGCCTTAAATCAAATTATTTCTTTTTTCTAGGGTGTGTTTTAATCAGCTTATCATAAATGTGTATGCATCAGGGACCTGTGGGAAAAGAAACACCAAAAGTACCCTATTACATTAACCCAGATATCATGCAGGTAACTTGTAACTTAAACAATTATGATAAAAGAGAGAAGCAATCTTGACCATGATTTTAAAAGTTCAAGGTGGTACCAAAATGGCAAATAAAATATAGAAACTAGGCTATAAATTATTCTTAGTAGGAATTTTCAAAACAACATATAAACAGTCATGACTATTTTAACAGTTCTTCAAATTCTTAGCTGTGGAAAAACAGAATCCTAGTTTAATTTGTGAAACAATATGGAATTTGCTATCAATACCTTCATTTTCAATGCAGAAGCTCAGTACCTCCCTCTCTTCTCCCACAGGTGGAAAAATAATAATAATTTTTCTTCCGAAGATACATTCCATGTCCTTACACAAATGAAAACTTAAATAAGTTTATTTTTTTAGGTCTACTGAAAGGCAGTATAGCATAGAAAATAATAACAAATGGTCTAGCTTCAAATCTTAGCTCTCACTTTCTACTATATGACACTGGGCAAGCTACTTAATCTGTTTTGGCCTACTTAACCTAACAGTTTCCTCAGCTGTGAAATGGGGATATTAAGCCCAAACTTCCACTGTTGTTTAGAAGATAAAGTTAGTTAATAAATGTAAAATGCCAGGCATACAGTAAGCTCTCAGTAAATGTTAGCTATTAACAACATAAATTGGCAAAACACGTAACTTGAAAGGACCATGATAATAACTTTTCGTCACTGGAATAAAGAAATAATACCTATCCCACCTCCACTATTGTAAATGAGACTATAGGGTGGGGGTGAGGGTGAGGGTGAGGCTGGGGAGATAATGAATTAAAATTTTCTCAAATACTTCCATTTTTTTTCTATTGCCTCCTAATTGTTAAATTATACCAGAACAAAACAAAAAGAAAAAAGGAAAAAATTGTATCAGCTTTATTAGACTTGATTTGCTTTGTTAAGCTATATCCTCAGGTATATTATTAAGAAGAAATATATCACTAAGATACAACATTAAGGGCCGGCCCGAGGCTCACTTGGGAGAGTGTGGTGCCGATAACACCAAGGCCACGGGTTCAGATCCCTATAAAGGGATGGCCGGTTGGCTCACTTGGGAGAGCGTGGTGCTGACAACACCAAGTCAAGGGTTACGATCCCCTTACCGGTCATTTTTTTTTTTGTGTGACCGGTAAGGGGATCGTAACCCTTGCCTTGGTGTCGTCCGCACCGCGCTCAGCGAGTGAGCAAACCGGCCATCCCTATATACGATCTGAACCCGCGGCCGCGGCACTACCAGCGCCGCTGGGCTCCCAGCACCACACTCTCCTGAGTGAGCCTTGGGGTCGGCCCCCGGTCATTTTTTTTTTTTTTTTTTTTAAAAGATACAACATTAAGTTCTTATTCATCAGCAGTATACAAATTAGAAAAGAAATAGCATCTATGTAGTCTTGGATATTTTATGGATATCAAGGATATTTGGAAATTTTATGTGAGCATTGACATAATTTTCTATATTCGTGATATTCACAAAAATGTTTTTTAATTGCTTCTTAAAAAAATGTCAAGTGTATTACTTAAAAGTATCAATAACATGCTGAAATGTGCCACTCGAAAGTAAAAATATAAGAAAAAACAATGTGTCTTTATAATTTCCAATTAGAGGAAATTTATAATTGTCAGTGTTAGTCCATCTTCAACATGTATTATTAAAAATATCTTAATGGTCTTTTATTATGTAAGATTTTTACATGTAAAAAAATGTACAGGTGAAAAAGAACGATACTCAAACTGTTTTCTACAAATGTAAAGTCATTAATATAATAATATGTAAAGTCATTATATAATATAAAATAATGTTATTACAGAAACCTTTGAACTTTTAGGAGAGTTTCAGGATGAATGAAACAATGTTGTTACGAAATATCAAACTCTACATCCTACTCAGTGCCTCTGTGACTTCTGTTGAGCAATTATATGGCCACAGATGAAACAGGAGGAAGCCAAAGAATTAAGTCAAATAGGGGCAAAGTTCCATCACACTGAGGCAAGGTCAGGAAGAAGCCCTCAAAATTCAGCCATCACAGTTCAGTTTTATCTGGAGAACTTCCCTGATTTCTTATACTATAGTCACAGGCTGCAGCTGAATTTCCAGATTTTAAACAGCAGTTTGCAACCTGTGTAACATCCCTGGCTCTCTCTGATGACTTCATAATTTCCAGTGAAATTCTTCAAAGAGAATCTGTTTTAATTCACTACCATTTAAATACTATATATGCAATTAAAGCACTTTCAGGGAGGCAGTGAGGGAAGGAAGGAGTGGTGGGGAAAAAAAGAGGATAAGGAATTTCCAAAGGTGGGAAAAAATTCCTGGAGTAACATTTCAAAAAGACAGTAAAAACTACTTCCCAAAAAGCAAAAATATGTGCTGCATGCCTCATTTGAATGAAGTAGAACAATTCAGATGGTTCAATTCAACAGCCACTTACTGAACACCTTCTACATCTAGGGAAAGGAGAGGGCATTCAAAGACAGACCTCCCTCCAGGGCTACACTGGAGGCAGCCCCCTAGCAGAGTCGCCCCTGTCAGTCTTCAGTCCCTACACCCAGGGAGTACTGCAGGACATCTGCTTCCACTGCTTTATGCACGGCCTTGAGGATGCAGCGACACCCTTAAGCCAGGTATGGTGGTCCAGGCAGTCCCCGAGGTGCTGGGACCAATCCTCCAGCTAATACCAGATTTAGGGAGTCAAAGGGTAAGTTTTAGTATTTTTAGTTTTTAAAGAGTTAGTTCGTACTTAACGTTGGTGCGCCGGTTGAATTTTAATTCAAGTGACCACATTCTCTTTTTTTTCCCTCAGGGCTGTGGAATCCTTCCAAATCCTGCCTGAACGGTTAAATCATTGTGTACGACGGAACAACTTTCGATGCATGTTGCTGTTTGAAAAATCTGAACTCTAGTAAGGGACAAAGCATACGTTCTCTTGAAACAGGAGTTTACTGAGCTTTTCCACCTCTCTGGGTGAAAGTTACAAAATATCCCCTTTTCGGGTGATGGTAAATCTCACTTTTATAAAAATCCATAACAGATTCCAAATTAAGTCACGAATCAAGTATATCCCCTCCTAACCATTAGGATGACGAAAGGAATTGTACAAGGTTAAGAGTTTTTACTACTATTATTATTTTATCGACGGAGAGACCTGGAAGGAAGGTCACTTTTTTCCCCCTTTCATCTGGAATAGGTGGCACACCGGGTTCTTTCTTTTTTCTTTTCTCTTTCCTTTTAAACAATAGGAACATGGTTCCAACTTGAATCGCCTATAAAAACCATCAATTGCCAACAGTAAAATCAATCCCCAGGGTGTCTCCGGGCAAAGCGCCCGGGTACCCCCTGAGCCTCTGCCACAGGTGGACGCGGAGCCACAAAGACACTTGGTCGCCCTCAGGTCCCTGAGCCCGAAGACAGACGCCACGAGGGCGCGCTCGAGGTCCTGGGCTCTTTGTCGGGAGCCCCGCGCGGCACCGGGCCGCTCTGGTTACGCGGCCGGTTGGGGCCATCCTGGTCCCTCGTCCCTCCCCCATCCCGGCGTCCAGGGCCCTGGCGCTGGCCACATGGCCCCGGCTCTCGGGTGACCCGGTCCCCTCAGCGAGCACCCACACCACGCGCCGGGGGGCTGGGCTTCTCTGGGGGCAGCGGGTCCCGAAGTCCGCCTCCATCCCCGCCTCCCGAGCTCACCGCTTTGAGATCCAGGACGCCGTCCTTGGCCTCCTGCAGTAGCGACACGAACTTGGTGGTGAGCAGCCCTAGGCTCTTCTCGTGCCTGCTGCTGCCACCCCCGGCGCCCCCGAGCTGCTGCGGCGGCGGCGGCGGCTGCGGGGACTGTGCCTGGGCGGGCTGCGGCGGCGGCCCGCGATCCTCATGCATCATCTGGAATTTTAGCAACCTGCTTTT